TGAATCTACAGGATATTCAGGTGAAGGTCCAGAAATCTTGAATAGGGAGAACATGTTCCCTGGGCCCAGGATGCCTTCTTAAGTGAAGGACGCTTTAATAATAACAACGGCAATAATGTTCTCTGACTGATTGGTTAAGATGTGACAAGAAACTGAAGTGTTTTACAACCACTATTATATTTAATCCTCATGATAATCCTGTGAGATGGGTATTGTTATCCCATTTTACATGTGAGGGCAATGAAGGCCTAAAGAGGTTAAGAGATCAACTAAGTGCCATATGGTTACAGAACCAGTAGGTGGTAGAGTTAGAATTTTAACCCAAATAAGTCTGAATCGAAAGCCCACCTTAGGATATTATCTCCCGTACAGTTGTACCTATTTTGTGCCAGACATAATCCTAAATAATTTATATAATAACCTCTTGATTGTCACAATAATCCTTCCCAGAACTTCATTCCATCCTTTTCCTTTACTCTTCAGTGCAGATACTCATACTAGCTTCAAACCTGTCACACACTTCGAGATTTTCTTGTTAAACTGCCCATCCCCCATGTGGCAATGTGAGTGATGAGAAGAGCATGTGTGTCATACAGCACATTTGCCTAAGTTAATCTAGTAGACTCCGAGGACCTCGGGCATATGCTACTTGACTTCTTTGTTCCTCAGGGTTCTCAACTGCCACTTGAGTTGATTGGCTCCTTTGAGCTCTAATATTCTAGAGTTCTATGATAACTAGAGGGAACTGTCATGGAAATGGGTGTAGGATGGGCAAGTGTTGATACATGGCGGTAGAAATGACCTTGCCATGAAGGCAGAAGAATTTTGCAAGTTAGGGAGATGTGAGGCCTCGCTCCTAGGAGCAGCTGGGATGGGCAGCAAGCAGAGGGAGGGAGCCAGGGCTCTTTGGCCGGCCAAAAGATTGTAACCTGATTGAAGAGAATAAGGTGAGTCACAGTCCCCAGGGGGGCAGGAACAAACAAGTGGTAAGTGTGACCCCAGGAGCAGAGCTAGGCCTACAAGATGGCAATCAAGGGGTCAAGAAGGGAGAGAGCTTCCTGGCCCTCGGGTACTTGTTCAGGGGCTGCACAACCGTGGGAAGCAGTGTAGAGGGGATTTGACCTTTAGAGAGCTGACTTTCCAAAATGCAAGCTTGATCCTGTCCCCCTTCTGGCGGGTAACATCCAGCAGAACTCAAGTGCCTATGATACCATCCAAGGTAGCTCCTTAACCATGGACCATGAGCCTCAGCACAATCTGTTGCTGACTTGGTTACATCACTTCTCACCCCTAAGCTATTGCAGCCATACCTAACTTCTTGTGGTTTTTTGAACACATTATGTACTGTTAAGGCTTCCGTGTCTACTCACATCCTCTGATTCCCTTTTCACATCTACAGGCATCTTATTGCTTGGCTTGAGTTGTAATGATGTGTCTGACCTCATCAACAGACTGTGATGCCCTTGAGGACAGGGCCTAGTTACTCATTTTCATACGGAGGCAGGCTTGACTGGAGCATGAACCGAGTTTTTGTTTGATGAATGAAGTGGGATCAGATGACATCGGATGGTCTTTTAAACTATTAAGATCCTGCTATTTTATTTCATTTGAATAAGAATTAACTGGAAGACCTAACATATACAATCACATGGTGAGGTTTTTGGGATACACAGACAATAATGGCGATAATAATGCGAGCAGAGACAACAGGAGCCAGGGCCAAGAACCAGGGTGAGGTAAGAGAAAAATAAGTAGGTGGCTACCTCATGAAGCACAAGCATCTTGGTCCCTTTGTCTCATAGCCACAAACTCTCCCAGTGAGTGTGTGGGAAAAGGGGAGCAAAGAGAAAGCAATGGGGACGTTCCTGCTGGAAATGAACTTTGGTTCTTTCTCTTGGGATTTAGCACAGAAGTTGGCTTTCTTTAGGGGTCCCCATGCCAACCCTCGCTCCCCAGGAGATATTTCCAAGGGAGTAGGTAGGTACCTGGGGACCAATTTCCAACTCCTCTCATCCTGACTTGCTTTATCAGCACCACACAGTAGTAGATGTCAACCAAGTCAAGGCCTGCACACAAAAAGGATCTGCCTTTGATAGCCTTAAGGGGCCTGAGAAAAAGTTCAGTAGCAACTACCATAGAAGTTAATTTTCTCCCCACCCCCTTTCCCTCAGTGCAATTGATATAGCTGTCCCTCGGATTTCTGCCTCCAAGCTTATAATAGAGAATTTGCTATGTGACACCACTACTGCTTCCTGATTCTCTTGATTTCTTATTGAAAAAGCCCCAGTCCTCTTATTCCTCATCTAAATTTCAAAAAAGAAGACAGAAACTCAGGTCAGGCATGTTTGACTATGGCCAGAGAAACAGGGTGGGGAGATATAGTTTCTTCTATATGTACCCTTGCTGTTCCTGCGCTCCAAGCACAGCATGGAGATGAGACAGGAGCAGATCTTATGCAAGGGCAGTGCTGGGGTAGGGCTCTCACGGGTGCCTTGAAACGCCCCTCCCTTTTTTTTTTTTTTTTTTTTTTTTTTTTTAACTCTTGACCAAAGTTAGTTTCCTTCTTTAGTAACACAAATCCAAAAATGTGTTTGTGTCCGGAGAAAGTACTATGAATAACTGATGATATAGTTGTTGATTAACTTGTGAATCATCCTGGGGGAAAGGGAGACCGAGAAAGAAGCGGGAGCTTTGGAGGCTGTATATGATTTGTCATAAAATATTTAGCAAATGATCGTCCAAACCACAGGGAAGAAGAGGAGATGGGAATTTAAAAGCTGCCAGGATTTAAAAGCTATTTAATGCTTATCACCGGTGCCAAAGAGCTGAGAGCATCCCCTTCCCTCCCCACATTGGCAGCCACAGCTCTGAGAATGTGAGAAGGGCTTGGATGGGCTGCGGAGTGCTGGTGGGAACTGAGAGCAGGCAGTGTGCTGAAAGCCTTTTTGTTTGGTAAATCTTGTAAACATGGGGATCTCCTCTGAGGAGGAATCCTCACCTTGTCTACTGCCTGCCGGATCTTTCTTTCTCAAGCTCTCTTGGATGATGACGCTCCACGTGGAGCAACAGTGAAACCTCTAGTCAGTGGACATTTCAAAATATCCTGATGCTTGGCATCAATGAACAAGAGCCATATGATGAACTGAGTTTGTCACACTTTTCCCCAATGTTCTGGTGTCACTTGCACAATGGCTTCAGTCGCTGGTCCCAATATAATGTGGTTACATCTGTTCTAAAGGTTGGAGCTCGGGTGTTGTCTCTCCCGAAGGGTTAGGGAACCTACATTTTTAGGGCTGGGGCAAGGACTCACTTCTGTCATCCGACTCTTTGGAGATCTGTTTATTTTGGGGTAAAGGATGAAAAGGTGTTTCCTGATATTTTGGCTTGAAAGCCTCAAATGTCAAGTGATGTTCTTCTGAGTATCAATACCATAAAGAAAGATAAAGTAAGGGAGAAGTAGCAGGGAAATCATTTAGGTCAGTGAAAACAATCATCCTGGCCAAGAGACCTCTGGAGAGTATGGTGAGCTCATTGGTAAGCAATGCTCTCAAATGTGGTGACTTCAAAGAATCTATTAATTGTGCTAAGAAGGTCCCTGCTTTTAGGGAACCTATAACCTGCTTGGTGGGGACATATGCATTACCTAAATCAGTGATCGGCAAACTGTGGCTCTCAAACCACATGTGGCTCTTTGGCCCCTTGAGTGTGGCTTTTCCACAAAATACCATGTGCGGGCGTGCACGTACAGTGCGACTGAAACTTAGTGGGCCATGTGCAGAAGTCAGATTTCAGCTCTCAAAAGAAATTTCAATCGGACTGTTGATATTTGGCTCTGTTGCCTAATGAGTTTGCCGACCACTGACCTAAATGATATGGATAATTAACCTTTGAGGTCAGAAATCTTTGGGCAAGGTGGTCCCAAAGAAGTTGATACGAATAACTCTAGCAAAATTATTCTACATACATACTACACAACATGGTTCTCCCTCATTCATGTTTTATTCTGGTTTCTTCTTCATCTTGTTCCTGCTGTCTTGCTTTCTTAGAATGTTTTATCTTCCACTTTCTACCTATCGCAAATCCAACACATCCTTTGAGGCCCATTTCAATGAATTTACTCTTGACTATTCCAGTCTTCATTAATCTTCGCTTCCTTTGAACTCTTATAGTCCTTAGGAATCCATTCATTTGGCACAGGATTATACTGTGCATTATAATCTGTTTTTTTTGTTTGTTTGTTTGTTTGTCTTTTTTATGAAAGATTCATCTTTTCTCCTGAACTCAATTGTAAGTTCTTTTTGGCAGGTGCCAAGTTTTAAAAACACTTCTGTGTTACTCACAGTTCCTGATAATTCATAACTTGCCACTGGGCATTTGCATACACCTTGATATCCTGTTAGTGGGCTGTTTTTGGTAAATGAAAATCTTGGTTGGGATTGTGGAAGGAGATTGGATTCTTGGTAGAAACACATGCCCTGAACAGTTTTTGGTCCTGAAGTTCCCTTTCCCTTCTTAGCTATGATTGCTAAAACAGATGGAGGGTTCAGAAAAGTTGTAAGTTGAGTAAATAATTAATTTACCAAGAGTGACAGCTGATCAGAAGTTCTATTCACATTTCAAAAAATGTGTAAGAAAGAAGGAAGAAAAATAAAGGAAAGAAGGCAGGCAGGCATAGGAGGAGGGATTTAGACATAGAGAAAGGGAAGGAAGAAAGAGTGAGAAAATTGAGAAGAAAATAAAAGGAAAAAGCCTGGATTGCAGAACACATCACACTTAGTCTTCAAATACATCCACCAATTTCATAATGTGGTCATTTTTAATATTAAAAGTAAATTGTAAATGTATCTTTATAAACAATATGCATAAAATAGATCTATTATTCTAAACCCTTTTTTTTAAAATGCTTTTTCACAGTAAAATTTTTTTTTTTTTAGGTGTCAGATCTCTCAATAGTGCAATTGGAAGAAGGAAAATGTTGTCAGTGAATTAGGACTTCTCTGCTAATACAAGTCCTTGTATATTTCCTGTAGGAGTGGGTGAAGACTCATGTCTGTCTCTGTTTTCTTTATTACTTGCAATAGCTGCACATGTTCTGTTACAATCTGTCTGAGGTCTGTCATTTTCTGGAGCAGCTTGGCAAAGAGCTGAGAGGACTCGGGGTGGTTCATCTTGAGCTGGAGCTCCAAGGCTTGCAGCAAGTTGTCTTGTATGTCCTCAATGGGCTTCACGTTCAGCAAACCTGGGCGGTCTGGGGGAGCAGAAGAACAGGGGGTTCAGTTACAAAATTCTCTGGCCCCACATCTGAAGCATATTTAGCCAAACTACTCACCCATCTTTTTCTTGGTTTGATTTGCTTTGGTTTTAAAGTAAGGTTGGAAGAGAGAGTAATAGCAAGCAAGAACTCATACAGGAGGATGGAATGAATCAGAGCCCTTTCCAGGGGCATTCTTTTCCTGGCCAGGACTTAATCTGTGTAATCAGTTGATATAACACGGTAAAAAGGCAATCTCCTCCTCAGACTGAGGACTCTTCTGCCCAGTGTGCTGCTACTCACTCAGAAATCTCATTTATGACTTCGGCTGCTTCTTGATGAATCTATGTTTTATAACCTGTACTTACTTTTTCACCATAGCTTTAAATATTCTTCTAAAACAAGCTTTGACTTTTCTTTTGCTTAATATCCCATATATATTTTCATAGACAAGACATAGATTTTACTGTTCATATAGACAGCTCCCACTCCATCCCCACCCCGAGATTTTAACATAGGTTTCTTCTAGGTGGTTGGAGGTAAGTTTCACTTTCTTCTTTATATTTCCCTTCTTTAAATTTTTTAAAAAAAATTTCCTTCTTTGAATTTTTAAATGATGAACTTAAATTACTTTTACATTTTTTACGTTTTTCTTCATGCAGATCTTCTTAGATGTATCCTTAAATGCTTCTTTACTTTTACCCCTTACTTTAAAATATTCTATACTTCTTTTTTAAATTTTCTAATATACTCCTGCTGATGTATAGAAAAAGTATTAATTTTAGTATATAGAATCTACTTTAATTTCCTGAACTCTTGTCAATTCAAATAGTTTTTATCCTGGATTTTATTTATTTATTTATTTATTTATTTATTTATTTTACTTTGGTTAGACTATTACCTCTGTAAATAATGGTTGTTTTCAATTTAACTAGTTCATGCTTTTATTTCTCTCATGGTTTTATTTCTCTTCTTTTCCAGTGTTTACATTTCTTATTTCTTTTTCTTGCCATAGTGCATTGGCTAATACCTCTAATACGTTTTTAAATATTCGTAGTGGTAGGAAGCATTCTTGTTTCATTCTTAACCTTGAAGAAAATGTTTCTAATGGTTTACCACAAGTATGGTATTTACCATAGAGATTATATTGGATATATTTTAGTCCTGGCTTTCCAAGAGTTCTAAAGTTTTATATTTCCTGTAGGTAGGAATGTTGTTGCATTCATCAAATGTTTTTAAATTTTTCATTCTAAAGAAATTACCATATGGTTTCATCTTAATCAAGCATCATGCATTATATCAATAGATTTCCTTATATCTTTGTATTCATTTACTAATAATATATTTAGGGTTTAAAAATTTGTAAGTGAGATCAGTCCAGAGTCTTCTTTTTTTTTGTGCCATCCTTTGCCTATTTTGGAAATAAATGTTAACTGTCTTATAGACTGAGTTGATAAGTTTTTATTTTTCTTCCTGTTTCTATGCAGTAATGATCTGTTCCTTGATGGTTTCTTGGAATTCATTGGCAGAACTCGCTGAGCCTGGTGGTAAATCTTAGACTACCTTCAATTTTTCTTCTATAGATTTTTAGTCTCCATAGGCTTTGTCCCACTAAGTGACATTTTAGTAATTTATAGTAGAATAAAGTTGTACATGATATTCTCTTAAAATCTAAAATCTCTTACTATTTTTATTTAACAGAATGCTTTTTATTTGTATATTCTCTTGTTTAAAAATCTGGTTAGCCAAAAGCTTATCTTTTTTCCTTAAAAAAAACAACAACAAAAAATAAACACCCAGTTTTTGGTTTTATTAATCAACTCTGCTTTTTGAAATGGTATTTTGTTTTCAATTTAACTAGTTCATGCTTTTAACTTTCTTTAGCTTCATATTCTCTCTCTCTCTCTCTCTCTCTCTCTCTCTCTCTCTCTCTCTCTCTCTCTCTCATCTCTCAGCTAGTGTGTGAAAGCTTCAGAGTTTGGAAGGGAGATCTGGGCCCTTCAAACATGGGGAAAATGCCTTTCAGCAATTTTCTTTCTTTGCTATCAATGACCAGGGACAGGCAGCACATGATCATGTCTGAATGTAGCAGTCTAGTTTCTTGAATGACTAATTCACTTAGTTTTTGTATTTCTTGTTTTTTGGCAGATGCATTTAAAGCTCTAAAATTTCCTCTGAGTTTTACTTTGGTCTCACTCCATAGGCTTTGTTCAGTAGTCTTTTTATAGTTCTTTTTCCAAATAGTCTGTTTTACTATTTTCATTTCATTTTTAACCTATGAGTTATATAAAGCATGATTTAGCCCTAGTCAGTTTGGCTCAATGGACAGAGTGGCGGCCTGTGGATTGAAGGGTTGAGGGTTCAATTCCAGTCCCTCGGTTGCAGGCTCCATCCCTTGGTTGCAGGCTCCACCCCTGGCTCTTATTCGGGGACTCGTGTAGAAGGCAACCAATCAATGTGTTTCTCTCACATTGATATTTCTCTCTTTCTTATACTCTCTCTAAAAATCAATGAAAAAATATCCTCTGGTGAAGATTGAAAACAATTAAATAAAAAAAAAAAAATAAATAAATAATTGAAGCATGATTTTAAATTTTCAAGTGGAAAGTTTGGGTGTTCATTTTTAATTTCTAGATTTTATTTTCTATGTTTGTTGCATTATGGTTAGAATATAAGGTTTCCCCATTAAAGCTTACAAGAGGGTGCAGAGTTTATGTACAACATTCAGGACACTTACTTGATACCTTGCACTGATTCCAAATATTAGCTCTTGAAGGCTATTCACTCTTTTTTTCTAATTTAACTCTTTTCCCCTTCACTGTAAATTAGAGCACTGTATAAGAATTTTTACTTACCTTTTAATATCGTTCTTCCTCTAGCCTCAGTTTCTGAAATTATCCCTTTGCTCCAATCATATTAAGCTATTTCCATACCAAGTCCCTCAAACTTCCTATGTTCTGTCATGACTCTCTGCTCAGGCAGATACTGCTCCTCCTGTCTTCCTTTCTCTTCACCCATCTCATCCACTTCAACCTGTTCTTCAAAATACAGCCTGTGTCATTATGTCCTGGTAGCCTTCCTTAGCAATATCCCTTCCTCTCCCCTGTTCTTTCAATCCCCTTTCTCTGGACCTTGTAGCACCCTATAAACACTCAAATGTTTATTATATTAGTAGATTACATTTGTTGAGTGGTTATTTCCCAAAGATTGTGCTAAGGGCTTTATACACAATATATAATTTTATCTTCATAATAACCCCATAAGGTCAGTGTCTTATGAAGGGGAAAACAAACCTTTAGAGAAAGGAGTTAAGTCTTGCCCAAGATCTGCCACATGTTAGTAAATGGCAGAGTTGACATTTGAATTCCAAATGCTATGCAGTATTCAACTTCTATGACCTTGTAATTATAAGTATTGATTTTCTTGTTTATCTTCCCTATTAGACCATGAGATATCAGAAGGCAGAGACTATGTCCTAATCATCTCTGATCAAGTGGAAACATAGGAAACATCCAGTTGGTTGAGTTAATGAGTTAGGTTTTCGGGCTGAGTTCTGAATTGAAAAGTACAATTCTTCTGGCTGGTGAATAAGCCTAAAGGCAAGATCACTACGCAATGAAGAAACCACCAGTAAACAGTGTTTTCCTGTATCGAATAAACAACAGTAACCTTTATCCACTGAGGTGAGGCACAGGAGATCAATGTTAGAATGGTTTCAGGATAGGATTTTTGGAACTGTAAACATTCTCTAAAATTTTCTTTCTTTCTTTCTTTCTTTCTTTCTTTCTTTCTTTCTTTCTTTCTTTCTTTCTTTCTTTCTTTCTTTCTTTCTTTTTCTTCTTCTTCTTCTTCTTCTTCTTCTTCTTCTTCTTCTTCTTCTTCTTCTTCTTCTTCTTCTTCTTCTTCTTCTTCTTCTTCTTCTTTAATTACAGAAGGAAAGTTACCTTTGGTTTGATTCTTTGCCACCTCTCCACCCGCCGACTTCTCTAACATGTCCTATTGACTGGACTAAGTATGTGTTTTTCTTTACATTTCAGCATTTAATTTTGGAACCATCAGAAAATTGAATTCAGAGAATTAAACAAAATAATTTAGTTCTGGCCTAGAGAATCATGCCCCTGGAGGAGTGGTGCCTTTCTCACAGCTGCTGTGCAATAATAAACACCTCTCTGACACTTCAAGGAAAACCAGATCTTGGATTGGTGCCTTTGGTTTAATGACTGCTGATCCTCCCCCTGCACAAATGCTCCAGATTTCAAAGGCCTGTGACAGCATAAATGTATGTGCATCGGATGTGGCAGGATTTTGTATCAAGACAGGTGTTAAATGTGGCTCCCCCATGGGTTGGGACTGCACACAGGCTTCTTAGGACATTTTCTCCTTCCTCTTGAGTAGCAACTTTCTGCTGAAGAGATTATATTAATCTAGTAGGTTTTATTTATCATGACAGTTCAAACACCCAAACCCTAAAATGCAGCTGATCACGTTTGCTGGGAACACTTGGCTTTAGTGCAATATAATGGAACAGGCCCCTCTAGGAGTAAAGAAGGATCTGGTTTGAATTTTCAAACCCCTTTTTGGCAAGTTATTTTTTATGATGTGATAGATAAAATTTGGCTGGAGGGATGAAATTTTGTGGCCACTGATTTATATTTTCTCCAGTGACAAGTTAGATCATTTACAGATCTGTCTCACTGTCCTACTGAACCTCAGTCAAGGCAAAATGGAGTACAGTTGAGTGCAAAAAGTAGTATATTCTACTTCTAGATCTTTCACTAACCAGTTCTGTGACCTTGGACAAACTAAGCTCACTGGGCTTCTCTGTAAATGAAAAGCCTAATTCAAAAGTTCTAAGCTTTATTTGTAATTCGCTTTATATAGTTCACATAATTAAACTGGGAAAGTACACTCAAAATCTAATTAGAAAGGGTATTAACAAGCTTATACATTAAACTTAGAATACTTGGCTTATTTAAAAAGCAAAAAAGGAATATTCC